ACCAGCCTGCATGGAACCTGGGGGAGGAGCCCAGGTGTGGGGGGGGGAGGTGCGGGGGGAAGAGAAGAGTACAGACAGGCCCTAAATGCTCGTATGTGAGAACACAGGGTTACCAACTAGCCAAACTCAAACACCCTTGCCCAAGAAGAGTACAGACAGGCCCTAAATGCTCGTATGTGAGAACACAGGGTTACCAACTAGCCAAACTCAAACACCCTTGCCCAAGCCCCACCCTGTTTCTGAGGTCCCACTCACTTTATCCCCCCTCCCTCGCTCCCACCCTCACTTACACTAGGCAGAGGCAGGGGGTTGGGGTATAGGAGGGGGGCAAGCTCTGGGCTGGGGCTGAGAGGTTTGGAGGAGGCTCTGTGCTGAGCCTGGGGCCAAGGAGTTGGGGTGCATGCTCTGGGAGGAAGTTTGGGTGCTGAAGGGAACTCAGGGGTGGGGCATAGATTTGGGATGCAGGAGCAGGGTGCTGGCTGTGGAAGGGGGCTCAGAGCTGGGGCACGAGATTGTGATATGGAAGAGGGTAGGCAGGGCTGGCTCTGGACCAGGGCTCAGGGCTGCACAGGGGACTTGGGTTCCAGCTGGGTGGCTTGGGTGGCTCCTGGTTAGTGGCTGGGAAAAGCTCAGAAAAGCTAAGGCAGGGACCCCACCTGCCCTGGTCCTGCACCACTTCCAGAAACAGCTGGCATATCCCTGTGGTGCGGGGCAGAAGGTCTCTATACACTGTCCCGTCCTGCAGGCAGCATCCTGCAGCTCTCATTGGCTGCAGTTTCAGGTCAATGGGAGAAGGTCAATGGGAGCTGTGGAGTCAGTGCTGGGAGTGGGACAGTGAGTGGAGATCCCGACCCTCACCACAGGCTGCAGGGACGTGACAACCATTTATGGAAGTAGTGAAGAGCCAGGGCAGGCAGGGAGCCTGCCTTAGCCCTGCTGCACTACTGGACTTCTAAGGTGCATCTACACAGAAGGGCTTAACTCAAAATAAACTACGCAAATTGAGCTATGCTAATTGCATAGCCTATTTCGAAATAAGCTTTTTCGAACTAAGCTATGTAATTAGCATAGCTTATTTCGAAATAGGGAGCATCTACACAGCACTTATTTTGAAATAGAGCACACTTCCTCCAACTTCCCTTACTCCTCATACAATGACGCTATGTCTACACTCGCAGCTTCTTGCACGAGAAATATGCAAACGAGGCTAAGTGTCGAATGTCGCCGAGCCTCATTTGCATACCTAATGAGCTGCCATTTTTGCAGAAGAGGCTCTTGCGCCAGAAGGAGCTGTCTACACTGCCCCTTCTTTCACAACAAAAACCCTCTTGCTCAATGCCGTTATTCCTGAAAATAATCAATGTAGTGGCATTGCGCAAGAAGGTTTTTGTTGCACAAGAAGGGGCAGTATAGACAGCTCCTTCTGGTGCAAGAGCCTCTTCTGCAAAAATGGCGGCTCATTAGGTAGGCAAATGAGGTGCAGCGATATTCCATGCTTAGCCTCATTTGCATATTTCTCGTGCAAGAAGCCGCGAGTGTAGACATAGCCTGAGGGTTATAGGAGTCGGCGTAAGAAGTCCTCCAGCTCAATTATTTTGACATTATTTCGAAATAGCTGCCTGCTGTGTAGATGTGGATTAAGTTATTCTGAAATAACACTGCTGAATAAACGCACCTTTGGTGGCCTAAAATCTCTCTCGTTTGGCTTCAGTAGCCTCTAGGAAATAGAGCCTGATTCTGAGAGGCTCCCGGAAAAACTAGGAGGGTTGGCATCTCTATGGCTGAAATATCAGCTGCATTACAGCACTTCTGTATATATTAAGAGCCAGTTTAATTTTACAACAATAGAGTTCTGTCATATACTGCCCGGTACATGGTACGTGAAACCCCTTGTGCTTCCCCTCTTTCTGTATCCAGTGATGGTTTCCTATTTTATACTTAAATGTTAATCTCTTTAGGGCAGGGCCTGCTTTTTATTCTGTGTTCCTATAGGCTATGTCTACACTGCCCCCTCTTGTGCAAAAAAACCTGCAAATGAGGCGAAGCGTGGAATATTGCCCCATCTCATTTGCATAATTAATGAGGCTCCATTTTTGCGCAAGAGGCTTTTGTGCAAAAAGGAGACATCTACATGGCTCCTTTTTCCGTTTTTTCAGGAAGAACAGCTCTTGTGCAAGAGGGGGTTTTTGCACAAAAAAGGGAGCCTCATTATTTATACAAATGAAGCATAGCGATATTCCATGCTTCACCTCATTTGCTTATTTTTTTGCACAAGAGGGGGCAGTGTAGACTGTCACGTTACTGAATTTTAGAGAAGCAGCCAGATCACTGCTGCACCCATGGGGGAGGTGTTGGCCCCAAAAGTGGCACAAAGGGGGCCATGAGAGGTGTCAAATTGAAGCTTACTTTCTTCTGATTCTCTATATGCTATTCATGCGATTGTATAATGTCTGTGTGTGAAGTTATAAGCATGTACTTTATATGAGTACTGAATATTTCTCTATATGTGGTTGAGTAATGGGCCAGGAATGTTTGCCTATTGACATGCTAATGAGCAAGTCTCCAGGGAACAATGGATCTCTGGAAGCCAAAGACACACCTGGCCACTGGCCATGTGACTCTAGCCAGCTTGGAAGAAACCTAGAAGGAGGGTATAAATATGCCATGTGGCCGACGCCATGTGTGTCTTCAGATCTACTTCTGACCCCAGATGCAGCCTCGCAGGGAATCATGAGCCGGGAAAAACTGTGGATCTATCCAGACATAGGGTGTGCAACAAGGACTTTTAAGCCAGCAGTTATAATATCTCTGCTAGAGCCTGCATCGAGAACTGGGAGATTCTATGCATGTAATGTATTTTCTTTAACAACCTTACTCTCACGCTTTTCTTTCTTGTAGTAATAAACCTTTAGATTGTAGATTCTAAAGGATTGGCTCAGCGTGGTTTGTGGGTAAGATCCAGAGAGTCAATTAGCCTGGAATCTGTAGCTGGTTTCTTGGAACCGGACAGAACTTGTTCGAGATAGGTGGGATTGGGTTCTAAGACCCCCCACCTGTGTATGATACCCAGGCCATCTGGGGCACGGATATTGCTGGGGTGTCGGAGGGGTTTTGCTCGTGAGGCTTCAGGCAGGTAGCTAAAGCGCTCTGTGGGACTGGTTTGTGGCCTGTTTGGGAAAGTCTTCACTCTGGGGGCTAGAGAGAGCCCCAAATTTGAACAATTCACGCCAAGCAGATGCCCTCAGCTGTGCCCAGACCCGGCCCGGTCCATCACATAGTCATAGCCATAGTGTTTAGCATAGTGGAGTCCATGACTGGTGCGAATAGATGCTATTGCAATATAAGGGAGATGTAATGGTTCTTCAGCTAAACTGCTGCCCAACTTGGTGATTCCAAATCATCCGAAAGCTTTTATTTCCGTTAGCATTCCTTTTAAATAAAAAAATAGCATCTCACCTCTTCCCTTTTTTTTATTGTAACTTTAATGCTGTGATCTGGATTTACCTTCAAACTGCAAGTAAAACACTGCTATTTTATTCTGGTGCCTCACTGCAGAGTTTAGCTACATTTTCACCCTCTTGCACAACATTATTAGATAGATTGTAAATATTGCGTCCTTCGGTGCAGGGACTGGGCCTTCCGACATGTTTGTAAAGTCTCTAGCACAGTGGGGATCTGATTCCTTATTAGGATGGCTGAGAGCTACTGCAGTATAAACACTGAATAACAATAACTGTCCCCAGGCTTTGCTTAGAATTCTAATGTTTTCAAAGCCACCTGAATGTAACCCATGTTGATGGGGAATCCTGGAGTCACAGGCTGGCTCGAACCATTCCTGTGCCCTGGGCAACAGGTGCGCAACGAATGTGCAGCTCTGCCCCAGGCGCACAGTGCATGCGTGGCCCCACCCCCCGGCATGCAGCGCTCCTTACAGCTGCCGTCAAGCACCCCCCCATAGGTTGGTGCCCCAACCTTAATCCTGCCCTGCATGTATAGGAGGGGTGCATGTGGGTGTGATTTGCTGTTTAGGTTCAAGCTTACCAAAGCAGTGTGGAGGTCTGAGGCTGTCTGCCTATCTTAATTGGGGAAGGAAGCAGGGTCTGATAAGGGGAAGTACAGCATGGAAGGGAGAATCTGAGACCTTTTGGCTGGGAGGAGAGATGAAGGGATGAGACCCTCCCCCTACGATATCCCTGGTGCAAACCACTATTCAGTGCAAGAGATCAGCTGCAGTGAGTGAAAGCTGGAGCAATCTGCATGGTGCAGGATTTCTAAGGAGAATTGCAGTGCCTTGTGCTATATGCAGGAGACTAGGCTAAATGTTCACAAGGCATTTCAGAGTAGTGGGACTAGTCCCTACTAGGGTTGCCAGGTGTCCGGTTTTCTACCAGACAGTTCGGTTTTTGGGTCTTCTGCCCAGTAAAAAAATCCAGAAAATACCAGACATGTAATGTCTGGTATTTCCTGGTTTTCTGGCTAGGCGCTGGACAAAAGCCTGGCGGGGGCGGGGGGAGTGACTGGGAGGTGGGGTGCAATCGGCACTGGGAGCCTGGGTGGCATTTGAGGAGGAGAAGGAGGGGCAGCCTGGTCCATGCTCCTGCGCGCTGGTCAAGCGCGTGGTGGAGCCGCAGCTGTACTGACTCATGCGGGACAGGAGCGCCCTGAGATCTGCACAGCCTGGGTCAGTCCTGCTCCCCGCCAGCTGATTTGTTCCCCTGACCCCTCCTAGCTACCTGGTTGGTTGATTTCTCTTCTTCTCCCGGTCTTCCCCGGCCAGTCCCTCCCC